GCTCCACTGGCTTCTCATGAACTGTGGCTGCTGGAGGACTCACAAGCTACTCAGGAGGATACCGTGTAAACCCATGCACAGATTTTTAGCTCTTTTATTTGGTGCATATCAACACTCACAAGGGGTGGAGGCACTGGTATAAACAACCACTGCCAAGGACAGCTCTCCCCACCTCAGCCAAGGCTGGAGCTATATCCCTTTGGTGACAGGCATCATTTTAGCTCATTTGCCACAGCTGAAAAACTTTAAAAAATATGTAAAAAGGTGAGAAATTTAAATTTAAAGTGTGTTTGTTTATAAGCTGAGCAAATAGCAATATTATTTACTGTGTCCCCAAATCCCTGTTAATCAGCACACAGACAGCTGTATCTAAGCCCTTTCTCTTCACACACACTATCAACTCCTCTCTCTTGGTCTTGGCATCATTTGCTATGTCTACTCCATTACACCTGCTAGAAATTTTTGAAAAGCAAAGTTTGAAAAAGACAGAAATTTAAAAACAAAATTTCACTAATATACCTTCCTCAATAGAGCAATGAGGGAAGCTCACATAGATATATTATAAAAATGTAAATAGAAGAGGTTCGTAGTTTGGCAGAAATTCCGTTACTGAGTCCGCATATAAATGCAGGAGTTCTGAAACCAGCCTGGTGTGTGTGTGCATACATGCATATCAGCTGAAAAAAATCAGCTATGCCTCCCTGCCTTCCCAAAGCAGAGCTGGCCCTTGATGCATGGCCACCACGCATCATCCCCCAAGCAGGGAGCCAGCGTGGCAGAGGAGAGTCCAGATTCATCCTGGCAAGTGGAAGAAATGCTCCAAAAGAGAACAAACACACAAAGCATGACACAGAGGCAGGAGGACATCAGCTGGGAGGAGCTGCTGGGTGGCAGCTCAGCAGAGTGTGGACTGGGGCTCACGCAGCTCACAAGCACAGCGTGAGCCCATGGTGTTTGTCTGGCACAAGAAAGGTGTACAGTATACAAAGATATATAAGCACAGTGACATAATTTTTTCTTCAGTTTCTGTCAGACTCCTGTATACACTGCTGGAAAGCAATGGCCTGAGGCAAATAAGAGACCAACCGGGCACAACACAGGAGAACACCACAAGTGATCTCGAAAACTGCAGGTCACTAGCTGTTTTCCCTTAGAAAGAAAATACTTAGGGGTAGAGGACGAAGAGGTGACAGCAGCCTTGAGTTCATGAAGACAGCAAAGAAAGGAGTGGTCAGTTCTCCATGTCTGCAGGAGATCAGACAAAAGCAATCAGATTTAAATTATACAAGAAAAATAGCTAGATAAGGAACTGGAAAACTGCGAGAGGAAGTCTTTAAGACAAATACCCCTGAGTTTGAGATCACGTCGTATGGGACTTTTAGCAATCTGGTCCAGTGAAAGGTGTCCTGCCCATGGTAGGAGGATAGAACCAGATGATCTTTAATGTCCCTTTCAACCCAAACTGTTTATGTTTCTATGAAGAACATCCCACCCTAAGACTAGCTACAATATATTGCAGCAACTACAACCATCAGAAAGCACAGACATTGTAAAATATATATACATAAACATAGCAAATACCAATAAGTATATGATAGTTATGTAAAGCATCAGCTTATGTCCAGAAAAGGCACTTGGCTCAAGTCTCAACTGCAGTGTTATTTTTGTGAGGATCAGAGCTCAAATTCACAAGCTAGAAAGGACATTAAGATACACTTAGTTCATTTTCAGGGGGAATCGGATGCAAAACTCTTTGCACTTAAAATCTCACATCCTTTCCCCCTCTGATTTTCCTTTTCCTCTCTAGTAGGCTTTGTCTATGAATGCTGAAAGTGTAGAGACAGTACCTAAAATTTTCTGAGGTGCACACACTCCCACTAGATACAGGCAAACGAGAGTGCCCAGTATACTTCCAGAAGACCTGTGACACATGAGGAAATAGTCGTTTCAAACCAAGACCCTTTCTCAATTTCTGCAGATAGTGTTGGCTCACATCCAGTTCAGAGTAGCTAAAAGTCATTTCTCTCTGATGTTGTTTAAAAACCTCAATGCAATGAAATACTAGTCTGAGTCCATTTCCCAGTGAGCAAAAGTGTCAAAAAGCCACCACCAGAGCTGGATCTAATTGGCAGTCCCAGTAAGGAAGAGAGGAAATGAATAGTGAAACACAATACCCTGCCTCTTGTGGCACTTGCTACAAAACTTTCTACAGCAGTTGCTCCAATTTTTGGGGCACTGAATTTAATTTCTTTCCCATACACATCCAAACCCCACGTACGCTTGTGTGGTTAACCAGACATCTCACTGACATGTTCTGCCTCTTTCTCCCTCCTGACTTTTCCTGCCAATGGAGAGTTGCCATTGTATGAAAAGTCATACTCTCGATCTATATTCTTCACTGATTATATTCAACTTCAAATGCTTGACCCCATGCCAGACTTGTGGCCATTCTGGCCTCGAAACTGCCACGGTTGCATTTCAATATATTTGTCCTGTTCACTATGTACAGAAGCATATGACTCAACTAAGCACAGAGTTACAGGGTCAAATGTCATCAATTCTGCAGCTGAAGCCTTACCTTCCCACAACTTGCTCCTATTACAGTGTAACAAACACAGAATCAAATTCTAAGCACTGGAAGATTGACTTGATAGCATGACCATAAAATCAGATCATTCAGGCTAACCAGGCTCACTCAAGACCTTTGTGTAAATTTTTGTCACACACAACACTGAGGACCTCATGGCAAGCTAGTCCAAAAGGCACAGGTCAGTATAGCTGTAGTCAAGTCACCAGCCTAGCAAACCTGGTTTAGATTAAGTGCCACACTAGACTCCCCCTGGGAAAATGGGCAAGTCCCATTGATTGCAAGGAGGTAAGCATCTCACTGTTTTCCCTTCCCTTCCAGGCTTCACTTTGCCTGGAAATTTAATTACCTGGAAATTTAATTACCACTTTGCCTGGAAATTTAAATTACCCCACTCCAGGCACTTCAGAGGGCAAATCTGTTTTAAAAAGATACAAGACTGATGAGAGAGGATGATTAGGTACCACCAGCAGCTAGAAAAGTATTATCTCATTTCCAGTGGTTATCTACAGCTCTCCATGAATGTATGCCACCCCGCATATCTGTGCTAAAACAAGTAATGCACATTTCCCTTCAAGAGCTCTCAGGAAGAAATAGCTTCTTTTACAGCATCTCTCGTTGGGTGGTTTCTGGAGCCTTCCCAGTAGTAGTAACAAAAAAAAAATCACAACGGGCACATTTTCATCACTAATTCTTCCCCTAAGGCATTCAGAAGTATTATTCCGCTGATCTGCACAGTTAAGTTTATTTCCTCATCCCCCTTTCCTCTTCATACTCTTTCCCTGTCCTCTCTACTTTTTTATATTTCCTCACCTCTTTTATATTTTTTCCTCCTTTTCACCTTCTGCTCTACAATTAATGGTGGTCTGCAGGTAGAATAAGTCAAAGTAGCAAATTTTATGTTTCAACCTGAGCACAAGAAGATTGGTCACTCTCATCTGCTCTGAAAATGACTTTGAAAACTTTTGGTCTCACTGCCAAAATTACCCTTTATATGAAAAGAAGCATAAAAAGGAACAGTAGCAAGAATTGGCAAAGAGCAAGTAATAGAGGGTCACTAGCAACATGTTGCTTCTTGGTTCTGATGTGAACTTTCCCACCATCCAGAGCTGGAAGAGGACAAGACACATGTTACAGACAAAATTTAGGCTCTGCAGTACCGTTTGGCTAAATAAAAGCCCCAGATTTTATACTGTCAAACTTACCCTTTACAGGTCCTTTCAAAGCAAAAAAGAGACACCTTGCACTCACAAGACCATTCCTGGCAAGAGAAAGGGTGAGAAACTTGTCCAAGAACATGTCTTGGGAGGTTTGCCCAGAAAGGGCCTGGGTGGCCATTTTAGACATGCTTATTGTTAAAGGAAATGCCAGTCCTCCCATCCGAGAGGGGAAACAGCAGCAGGTCTCTTTACTGGCAAACACCAGTCCAAGAATAGGAAGATGCCTGGACAGGGAAAAGACTAAGCAAATAGTTCCTGGACAACCCATTAATAGAAATACATTCTCAAATCCTGCTCAGATAGTTTCAAGTAAACACATTTTTAGTAAGAACTATTTGTACAGATAATTAATAAACTACAAGAAGGTCAAACACAGGCTTTTTGTAAAGTCAATTCTATTACTAAACTATATAATAACATCAGTACTCTGCACCATACATTAAGTTCTGCACAAGAAGGGGGAAATTATATAAGCTGCCATCAGATTCCTCCTCATTTTTTGTAATATGTTATTGGGAATTAATGTCCTTTTTTTGTCATGTAGAGAGATTCTCATTTTGCTTTTCTAATTCCTTGTTATTACTACAGACAGGACAATTTTGCATGACAGCAATAACTGGTGATGTGTAATGCAGCAGCTGGGTCCAAAAATTTGACTTCTCTGTTTACATCCCTGGCTTCAAAGTCCCATAGTAATTGAAAAAAAATAATAAAAATCCCAAACTAAATTACCATATTGAAAACTTCCACATAATCCTATTTATGCAGAAAGGTTTTTCTTACAGCATTTTGCAGAGTTCCTTCCCAGTTGCTAATATTTTAATAAAATACCTTTTTTATTATTATAGGAGTGCACTGGGAATCAGATCTGATCTGGAACTCCAGCTTAGCTGGGGGCAGGAAATACTCCACTAAGAACCTTTGCAGCTCAGGTCTTTTTACTATTTCTTTCCCTTTCAAAGTGTTTTGATTAATTTCAAGTCTTGCACCTGCTTTGATCACCCATTTTACTGATTATATTTTCTTTACCCCTGCTAGAGAGGAATCTGGAGCTTTACACTCCTCACTGACAACTCTTCCATCAAGAATGCTTTAAGAGATGAGCACTTTCCTTGGCAGCAAAAAAGCAAACCATGATGTGTTACACACAGAAAGCTGCCTCAAAAAAAAAAAAAAAAAATAAAAGAACTCACCTCATATTTTATCCAGCATCTTCTGAGTCTCATCAGAGGAAATTAAAAATTAAATTGGCTTCTTGAGAGGATAGATCAGACACCTTAAAGAACAGCTGCAATTTGTGTTTCTGAGAAATGAAAATTGAAAAGCAGACTAAAGTGGATATTGGGTGATTTATTAACCTCCTTTCTCCGTTCTTTCTGAATGTCAGTACATTCAGCAGATTATCGATAGGACCGTTTTTAACATACGATTTTCAGAATGAAATCAAACAGACAACTCCCTGTCCCTCTTCCTTCCCACCTCACACAGAGCACAAGGCTGTTCAAAGGACCTTGCAGCTCCTGTTTGCACAGCAGGAGGCATGGAGCCTGCAAACATACCCCGCGAATCTCCTAGCCCTGAAGTGCAATGGGCACTAACTGCTGTAGGTATTAGTGCTGTTTGTGCCACACGCTTGAGAGCCTTCGTGAGCCTGTCCAAACACACGAGGCTTGTTCATGAGCAAAAATATTAAATGTTACTCCTTGACATTTTGTTGTTTTAGTAATCTAACCCCACGGAAACTATATCAAGATCTATAAAGCCATTCAGATACTAATCGTAGCAGATATGAATCACTATGTCAGTTAACACGAGGTGCATAAATCGCTGGCAATGTGGATTTATGCCACCAGGGTGTAATTCACCAATGTCAGCTCTTATATTTGATTAGAAATGTGGAATTTGAGAAGAACAGACTTACAAAGCTGGTTGCAATTTGAGTTGTGACCTTAACAAAAAAGTCAGAGACTGAGGCTCACAATCTGTCTGTGTGCTTAAGTAAGAGTTTCACGTTCACTCTGCTCAGATTAATTGCTTCTTTAACCTGCAAACGCTGACACACATGCGCAGCTGTGCACACTAATAGGAGGACAGCAGCCGAGGCTCTATCAAGTTTCATTAAATCCTGCATGCTTAATTGTCTTCATCGCTGGAAACCATCATTTTATTTAATGGTTTAAATACAACGGAAATGCCTTAATCTCATTTAAGTATTAAAGACGTTTACAAGCAAACAGAAATAATTTTAAGAGAAACATATATTACATAGCTTCATGGACTTTGTTGCCTGGTGCAGGTAGAAGATTTTTTCTGCTCATCCCCCATGTCTGTAGCCAAAGCAGAGTCAGAGTCTGTGATAAAAAGTTTTTTGATTCATTCAGCTTAGCCCGGTGACACTGGCACGCCAGGTCAAGTGCACTGTAGTTACCTATAATTGCAGATATTAATGTAGCTTTGAAAAGGATTCAAAAATTACTTTAAATGTCCACCCTGGCTAGAAACTCATTTTGTCCTCATATAAACATGCCAGATCATCCAAAAAATAGTTAGCTACTAGGGTCAAAATACATAGATAACACTTGAGCTCTTTTACAGCTTATACCCGTGCCAGGCTTCTCTCTCCTTGGCTCATTATCTTGTTTGTCCCCTCTCATTTGACAGGGGAGCCCACTGAATATCAGAGCACTGCATCTGCATGCTGATGCTGCCAGCCTTTCTGTTACAAAACCCAGTCTGCAGAAGCACACTAGAACTGGCAGCATTGGGGGTAAACAACAATCCCCCACCGAAGCTTTGAAAGGAAAACATTATGTCCCAGCCTTGGAAACATGCCAGATTTGGATGCCCTCCCTTCATAATAATCCCCTTGAGTGGGTAGATTTTGCCTGTCAGAGATCTGCTGAGTGTTAAAATACAGGTGGCAGCATCTTTCCCCATGCACTCCTCCACTCTGCCTCTGCTGGTGTCTTTGCTCTGCTACTGCCCTCGGTGATCCCATGGGTCCCATCCTTCTGCCTAAGTCTCCTCTCAAGATCCTTCCTTTATGGATAAAACAGGTAAAACCAACACAGGCCATGCCAGCAGCAGGTGCTGAGGGGCCTGGGCTAAACTCCAGCTTCCCAAGGACACCCTGCAGGATTACAGCATCTCTTTAATCTGACTGCATGTCTCTGCAGACAGTTGGCCTCAATGCTGGAGCATTGGCCCAGCTCACCCAAGGAGGGGGAATGGAGAGGCAGGTTAGATTTGGGCTTCTTCCCCCACTCTGGCTCTGCTGGCCACCAGCCACACACATATGGAGAGCATAAACTTACATCTGTTAAAATCCCTCTTCAAGACAAGAGAACTTCTAGGACATCCCAGAAATTTCACTTGTCAGCATGAATATGTGTGTTTTTCCAGAGAAACCAGGTAAATCACTCAGCAAATGCTCTGTAGAAAGTCCCTGAGGCATTGCCATGCCACACGTCAGCCCTCCATTGCCTCTTCCCAGTGCCAGCCTTTCTCTACAGGAAGACTTGAGAATGGAGCTGTTCTATTTCTCCCTGCTGTTAGTCAAACTTTGAAGCATCCAACCGACACTAGTCTATCAGCCTTACAGTTATTTAAAGACAGCCTGTCAGTTTATTATTAACAGCAGCAATTACATTATAGCAGTTAAAAGAGACAACTGAGATTGGGAACATACTGCAGCTGGGGTTAGAGATCTGCTCAGGCCTAGTTTGTGCTAGAAGAGGCTTTCAAGTGTGATTATATGGGCAAAGCCTTCTTGCTGAGACCCATGATACATCGTCCCATGGTACGTGGCACAGATACGAGCTCACTCTGCCAGCTGCCCATCTATAAGCTGAATGGCCGCAGAGCCAAACTTAGCTAATACACCCTTCCTCTCAACGATATCTATTGCCTCAGGTTTAGTGAGATACTATCATCTATCCATGTCACTTCTGGTCATTTCAGAGCTTGAGGCAGAGCATGATGACATTCATTTTTGGCACATCATTCAGGCAATACCACTCCCTCATTTCCACAGGAAAAACACCACTTCCCAAAGAGAATGTAAATAACCAGCAGAAAGCCATGCTTTATTTTTGCCCATATAGCTGCATCTAAACTAGGAGTTTACATCAGCATGAAAGTATTAATAAAATTGCCCCTCTAACCAACACTATTTTACTGTCAGCAACTCCAAATATAGGTCTGAGCCACTGGGAGAGAACCATCTTCCTAAGTAGGCACTAAAGAATTTGTGCTTTAAATGCTTTCTGGTAGAAGGGAAACTGAGGCAGAAAGCAATTGAAAGACTCCCCCAAGGTCATGCAATACATTTATGCAAAACATGACCCTACCTGCATTTTAGTCCATGGCACAGATGCCATGGAGGTAGCAATTTAATAAGCTACTAGCCCCATCTGTTCATTATTGTCTCAACTGGAGATTGTCATCCCCAAAGCTGAGACACATTAATTGATTATATGAATGCTCCTGCTTTGACCCAATGCAAAGGCAGTCAATTTAATTTAAATCCTTGTTGGAGAAGATTTCAATTTGCTGGCTGACTTTATTCTGAGGCAGATGAGGAGCACTCACGGAAGTTTCATTGCCCATTCCCACTACGTCTGACAGAGAGCATCTGTCCACATTTTACCTCTCTGGCAATTTTTAAATCAAAACAAATAAAATGCAAAATGAGAAAAAAAGGAGACTTTTCTTCTGGTACTACCCAGACCTCTGAGCTTAACAGAATTTCAGCTAGCAGAACTTCCCAAAACTAATGTCATTTCTTCAGTCTTAAGTTTTCCCTGTTCAGAAGTTTCTCTAGTTCGCTTTCCAGAAACATGTATTTTCACTTTCTCTCCATATTTAATTCTGGTAAATAAAAGAGAACACAGTTCATATTTTTCTTCCAACTACCAGCATTGGGCAGCAGTAGTAGGGTCACAGAAGCTACAGGGGTGAAAGAAAGCTTTAAAAAACTCTCCCTACATATCACATCCACTCTTCTTGACATTTTGAGTCATAAAAACTTCACTAGTGGTATGAGAGGCTGCTAAATTTTTCTCTCTTACCCTTTTCTTTCATTTTTATTAGTGGTTAGATTTTGATTACATTATGCCTGACAAAGACCAGCTGCCTCCACAAGTAACTGTATTATCTTCAGAGGCAGCCGCAAGTAAAAACATGATGTATGTAAAGGAGTCATAACGTTTACTGCCTTTTTTTATAAACTGCATGGGAAATCAATTCACATGCACCCTTCTAGTGTTAAAATGACAGACTTGCGAGTCTTCCCTGTGCACTTTGTTCCCAGTAAAAAACCTACATCCATCAAGCAATATGCTTACCCTCCAAAGCCACCCTTCCCCTCTTCTGTCCTTAAAAACAAGATCACTTTTTGAACATATGAGAATCCACTAAAGAAAGAGGGGTTTTTTCGTTAAAAGTCAGCATTAATTTTCAGACCTTCGTCCTAACAGTTACACAGTTACAGCCCTGGTTTGTTTGCACCGGGGGTATTTTTCTCTTATTCTTGAGAAAAGTGAGGGAAAAAACCAACACAAATTCCATCTCACAAACCAAAAGATATGAGCGTAGACACTTCAGGTGTTTTGCTCAACTGCAGTGACTTTACCCCATGTGCAACAGTAAATAAAGTAAGCAGATGTTCACAGGCAGCTGAACAAGGTGGTTTGAAGATACCCAAATTACCGCAAACAGCCCATTTCTCTTTCTCTTTCACCTTCTACCCCATCACTTGATCGTAATGGAGCTTTTGCTGTTCATCACTCTCTCTCCCCATCAATTTTCATTGCCCTCCACAGCTTCTTTATCACTTTTGTTGTCAAACTTACAACTACCTTTAGTTCAGATGTTTGCCATAAATTCTGGCAGTAGACATCTAACCCATGAAGAATATAAATAAATTGGCTAGTTTGAAGAGGCACTAGGTGATAATGTATTTTTTCATATCCACAGATAGACCTAATATCTTCACATATCTGTTGGAAAAATGACACAGCACTAATGCCCTTACTCTGACTGTCTGTCCACTCTGCATTATTTTAAGAAGCAAGCATGTTCTGGTGCAGTAAACAAAGACCAAAACACCACACAATTTAAAGCAGTCACCAGCAAAGAAAAATTTTCAGCCATTTCCTTTTTGCACACTCTGCAGGATGTTTTACTAAAAACTGTAATTTAAAAAAAAATTATTTTAACTCTAAGTTTTGCTAAAAGGCAGTGAATGCTTGTGAACAGAACTATTTCCATTTTAAAAGATTGAAAAAGATAATTTTTTCTTCCAGAAAATGTAACATCAAAGACATTGCCTCCTTTTTTTTTTGCAAGTTTGTGGTGGTCTTTTTTCTTTCTGTGGGTTTTTCGGGGGTGGTTATTTTTTCATTTTTACACTGATGTAACAGCATTGACTTTAGTGGGAGGTGAGGTTTACTCCAGTAGAAACAGTAGCGAAAAATCAATCTCTTTGTGCAGACATGTCTATTCCTAAAGCCAAAATATGTGACCGGGAGCAGGCTCCAACACAGAGTGCTCCATGAGCCATGTACTCTTTCACCACGGTGTTGCAGCACAGCCAAACTGGTGGCTCATTCCCAGCTCTGCTTCATCTATCCAGACTGGAAAAATGCAACCTGGGCCCACACCATGTGTAAAACAATATTCATGATGAGCAAGTCTGGCCTCATGAGAGATCCATATTTATCTGACATACCTAGGACATTTAATTTCTCCCACCAGTTGAAATTCCTGATATTTTGAGACAAAACCTGTTTTGTTTAAAGACTCCACAGTCGCAGTCCTGCCACTCTCATCAACAGCAAGACACAGTGTTATTTTCAGCTACAACCTGAAAGCACAGCCTCAGTTAACAACAAGAGACAAGTATATCTCTCACTGCTGAAAAATCTGGAGAAACATGACCCAAGTAACACCACCTCAACTCCTAGAGGCCAAATAAACAGGGTTTTTTTTCAAAAATGTTTCAGCTACCAATTTTTTTTTTTTTTTGAGGGGCACAGGGAAGAAATGGAAGAATGGAGGGGGATGCTCAGCTCATTTGCTGGCACTGTGGTACTCCTAGGACAGAGAAAGACAAACTCCTAAAAATGCACCAACTGAAGGACAGCGTAGAGTCAGATACACATGCTCATGGAGGTCCCTTCCCCTTTTACCTCGCAGTTACCCTGACCAAAAAAAACGGGTAAGGCAATTCCTGGCTGCCAGAGAGACTTCCCACCAGGGCAGGAGACCTGTGAGAGCACCAGCCCCATCCCCCCAGCCTTCATAGCCCCCATCCTCCAACAAGGGTTCCCAGCCCATGTAGTTACGCCCAGAGCTGCTGTCATCACCTCTGCACAGCAAGGGACAGTTGCGCTGGTGGCAGCAGGAAAGCTGCTTCCCCAAAGGTGTGCAACAAAGCCCAGCTGATCTAGAGAGAGAGGCAGCCTCATCAGTGGGCTTACCAAGTCCAAGTGTTCTGTGCTCAGACTGGGGGGGGACAAAACAACAGTTGATCAGTGGCACACGAGCCTTTTCAAGAACTAGGCTGCCTGTTTCGGACAACCAAGGTCACCTTCACCACACCCTCTGTCATCTTGCTTAGGCAAACTTCTCTTGGTGTTACATTTTAGGCATCCCACAGTTTTTACATTCCCTGTGTCACAGATTAGCAGCTACCACTTTTGTCTACATACTCTGCTTTCTGCTCCATTATCAGGCACCTGCCGCTACCATTGCCTGACTTAAAGGCTGCCTGGTGCAGGCTGCATCTGTAATGCAGTCACTGGTGATGAATTGTGATGTCACAAGTGCTAGATTGCAGAATCACTAAAGGAATTGGGATGATAAAGGGAGAAGAATACCCGTATTTACACACAAATGTCTTCATAATCAGCAGGACCAGGAACGGAAATAGAATTAGGCAGAAAAACAGAATTAGCATTATTTGGATGTTAACTGGAAGAAACGTGATGCTTCTAAACACTGAGGACATGTGGTGTTTCCCGGAAAAGGATATTTCGTGGTGACATGCTGGAGGCAGGGTGGGCAAAGCAAGAAAAGGGAGAGCTGAAAAGCAGCTCAAGCTCTGGAGGAAGAAATATAGGCAGAAAGAGCACTGCTTTCTGCAATGAGCCTTTTACTTTGAGGAGAAGCAAGGAAAATAGAAAGTATCTCAACAGACAAAGATTATTGAATTTTGTTTGTTTATTCCAGAGAGGGATGAAATTCAAGGCTCAACAGACCAGGTCAGCAAGTTTCCTCTCTTCCCACAGTGGTCTCCTGGAAAGGACACCAGCCTGGGGAGCTGCACCTAAACTTCATTTTCTGCCACATATTCTTTCACCTTCCACCTCTTGCCTTCATCCTTTAGAGCAGGATGTCCATGAGACAGAGGTGACAACTTCATGTTGTCAGACACGTGACCAATCTCACCAGCTTCTGTCATGCAGGCACTGCCAAAAGGCATTCCCGCTGGAATTTTTTAAATTCACACCTGACTGGCATCCATCATTCACAGCTCTCTGCTTCCTCCCGCACGTCTGCCTTCAGCTCTCACAGTGCTGCAGCTTCTGATCGCAGGATCCTTGCTTTTGAAGGCAGCTTGGGGTGGACTGCCTCCTTTTGGTTCTCTGGGAATACAAAATAATGACATGTTTGTTACTTTTGTGAACAGGAACCATTCAAAAGACACAGTTCTCCTGACAGCTCCTGGAGAAATGATGCCCCAGTGGCAGGCTTCTCTTTAAAGCCTAGGCTCCTCCTGATGCCTATCTATGATCCTTAGCATTATTAGGAGGTGTTCATAGCCATGCCAGGAATGGTAGGCTCCAGGTTTTCAATCTGCAGAAGAAAGACAACTTGGCATTGGGCACTATCCTCTCTTCAGGCTGTGGAATTGGATTAAAAAAAAACCAACATCCTATCTGATGGAGGAAAGTTTTCCAGGAGTGCTGAGGTTCTTTTGAACAGCAGCTTCATGACTCCTAGCTTCAGGGGTATCACAGCACTAGCTGGAAGAAACAACTTTCAAAAGACCATCTAGCATTAAGCACTTGGCTAAGTATCTTGACACAGCTCTGCTAACAGTTATGTTTATGCATTTCTCTACATAGCCAGTGGTATGCAGGATTTAGGGGTTCTGCCTTCTTTTTTCTACTCTGCTATAGATGCCCTGTGCTACTTGAGAAGGTCAGTTTATTTGCATGTAGCTCATTTATTTTTATTTTGGAAGTGAAGACAGTACTTTTCTGCTTCTAGAACACTGGTGCAGCAGCTGTGAAGTTGCTGGTAAAAAAGTGCTGTAGAAATAATAAACTACCACTACCAGATTTGAAGGTTCTCAAGAATCCTTCTCTACAGCCTCACAGCCTAATTTTGCATTTTGAAAATCAATTGTATAATTGATTTCTGAACTTTCCAACTTGAAACAACAGAGAGATGGTTTTCAGAAAGAAAACCGCTCATTCCTCCCTCTGCTGAAACCAAAGATGTTGCACTAAATCAGTCAAAATGCTTAGCACTACCGAAGGGTAGTAGCATGCTCCCACAGCTCCAAGTTACTTGGAAAGCTTAAATCTTTTCTAGTCAACCAAGCGATGACTAAATCAACCTCATCCGCCACCTCCGGTGTTTCCAGCCCCAGGATCTTCACGGTAAGGGACAACTGAAATAAACTGCGTGGGGAAGGAAAGAGCAGTTGGGCAGGAAGACCATCCTTCTCTTATTCATCCAGCAAGTGCTCATCACAGCCTGTCAGCACTGATCCTGCTTTGCAGGGGTGGAAAAATACGCTCCGATGTGGACAAGAGCAGCCGCTCGGCTGAGTCCTGCAGGAGCACAGCCCTCTCTCCGTGCTGCCAGCCCCGTTCCCCTCCCCACGATATTCAGGTCAAAGACACGGCGATGAGCCGGATTTGGAGACTGCCAAAGCAAAGGGCCAGGTTCGGAGGCTGCCAGGCCATTCAGCAGAGGAAGCTGGGGCTCAATGTCCTCACTGTTCCCACTGCCACCCAAAGAGCCGCCCAGGGCAGCCCGGCCTCGGCACCAAGGCAGGGCAGCGGCCGCACTGCGGCCCTGAGGCAGCGTCTTTGCTGTCGTTTAAATGGGGAAGGGGACAGGAGAAGAAAGGGAGAGGCAGAGCAGCGGGAATAGGGGGGAACGGCGAGCAGAGAGAAGCTGCAGACCGCGGTGAGATGCAGAGCCGGCTGCCTACGCCGGGGCTGCACTGGCACCCAGCGGCGGCGGCGGGGCGAGCGCCGGGATCCCAGGAAGACTCCGGCTAGGATGCGCTGCCCAAAGCCGGGATAGCCCCTTCGGAACAACTACGGGACCTGGGAATTTCTGTTACCTTTTAAGGGAAAAAAACCTCAAACACCAGCAGCCCCGCCCCGCACCACCCCAAAACAAAAAAAAAAAACCAACAAACCAACCACTCGATTCCAAACCATATTCCATCTGTCCCTCAAGCGTGTTTGTGCAAGCCACAAAATGGGAAGTTCCTAGGGAAAGGACACATGCATTTACTCTTTGTACTGCACCAGACTTACTCACACTGCGTTATTTTCACTGAGGTCGAAGGAGAAGCTTAGCCTCGCTGGTGAAAACTTGGCACCTCTATGGGTGCCCACTGAAAGAAATGTTTTCAGATGCACATACCTGTTTTTCAAAAGACTGAGAATAAATCTGTCTTTTTGCAAGATAAGAAACATTTTGCATTTTGTTTCAAAGAGACAAAGTTAAATAGTTCTGCACAACAAGGGCAATGTTTCAAACAGAGCCCCAGTAATAGATGCTCTATGCTGAACAGCCTTATGTAGCAATGACAATATAATCAATTGATGGATGAGTTAAACTCTTTTAGGACTCAGTCAAAACCCACTTCTATATAGTGGCATATGTGTGTCCATTTTCCAGATAGGCTGCATCCATCAGTAATACCAAGGGAAGGGATAGGGAAAGACTTCTGAAACCATGAAAGATAGTTTGAATGCATCAAGCTTTTCTTTACTTTTCGACTGTGCTTAATTTTCCCCACCCATTCCAGTACAGCCATTCACCTTACAGAAGTATTTTGTGATATGGAGAAATTGCATACGAGGAAACAGGACTATGGGAATGAAATTATAACCATAGCCCAGATGCACCTGGACCTGGTTGTTTGATGAGGCCAGAAGAAATCATACAATTTCCTCTCCTTCCTGCTATGATTTTTCCAATTTATCTTAAAATTCTCCTCTGTCTCATTTGAAACCCACCCAGGACTGGAAATGAATGGGCTATACTAACACAGAGACAATCTCTTCTAGCTAAAACCACAAGTCAGTCATTTTAGCAGTACCCTGACACATTTGGCAGGCAGTGTAAATTTGGGAATTAGACAATACAAGTTCTGAACCTCATTTTTCCACACCAAATTAAACATCTTGAGTTTTCCCCACCACTGCCCAGTGCTGCTGTTGGCTACATAATTGCCTCTTCCTAATGGTCTGAAGCTCTGCATATCTTGTCATTTGTATGGGTTCGTGATATGGATACAAGGATTAGCAAGGATTTAGGATTTATATCTCATTTGAAAGATGAATAATTTACCACTTCATGTCTTCCACCAGTGGGCAAGTTAAGCAAAGCACAATGCACTACAGTGTCTTGTGAACATCACCAGAGAAAGGTCTAGAGAACAATTGGGTTTTACCACTTGACCTCAAAATCATTGTATCTAGACTTGGTGAACAGAGGACTGAGGTGAATCCCAGAGTTTAGGAGGCTACACTGAGAACAGCTTCCACCCTTGCATGGTGAGGGAAGGACCACTGAGAAGTAAAAATGTACCTGGAAGCAGCAGGAAACCTCCCATACCCTGTGGGAGCAACACCTCCTACACTCTCCCCCTCAGATGTTGGGGTAGGAGCAAGGAATACTCCCTTTTGTGCTTCTGTTGGCTTCATCCAGCTTGAAATTTAGCTGCAGCAGCCCCATGAAATCTCTAGCTGAGACAGTAATACAAGAAGAGAGACAATTTCTCAAGCAGGCTGAAATTTCAGCCACCACCATTCTCCCACACATCTGAACTCCCTTCTGTCATTTATTTTTTCATTCCTCTCTCAAGCGCTGTGACAAGTCAGCTCTTTGTTTTTAGTGCTTCAATTACGCCCTCAGAGCACTTGAACTGCTGAGCCCTCCCAACAAAATCAGGATAATGAATAATGTTCCTCGTTTTCTTCTGTGTAACTGTTTCCCTCTCCCAGGCTTGCAGCATGACTGGAGAGGCACAAGCACTGACAGCTGAACAAATCCCACACCATCACACAGGACAGACACAGCAGTGTACCCTGGCAGCCTTCTCAAACACTGCAGCCTTCTTTTTCCATGTTGGAAGGGCTTAATCTCTGAAACTAGCCATGGAGAACCCAGCCCTACTTGAGAAGCAGGACTGCAAAGAAGTCCTATGGTACAGAGATGCCCAGCACAGAAAAAAGGGGTTCTCCTCTCCTTGGTTCTCTCTAAAAGCATTACTCCTCACACTACCCACATTAATGCCACTCCAAGATATGTTGATCAAGGTACGAAAGGGGAAAGAGTCAGACTTCTTCAACCTAGCCGCCTTTAGCAACATTAGTAGCCAAAATCAATGGCCATCTAGCTTCTGTTTGTCTAGGCTTGAACCAGACTGTTTCCTATTAAAAATGAAGAAACATGCAGATATTTGTAATAGTATATATCATATAAAAAATATATATTTCTGTTACTCATTCTTACAAAAGCCTATTTCT